GAAGGAACTAGATTCTGTTCCGAAATATCACTTACTCGAACCGTCTTGACCGCGTAGCTCAGTTGGAAGAGCATTGGGCTAGTATTCCAAAGGTCGTAGGTTCGAATCCCACCGTGGCCGGGCATATTTTTCAAGCTCGCCCGGTGTGGATATACACTCAGAGTAACACCACAAATATCATATTCACCTGAGTACACTACACCAACACAGAAAAAAATTTAAGATTGTTACAAGTTGTTAACAGCTTGTTCAAAACTTATTGACAACTTGGAACAAGCATTGCAAACACAACTTGTTGGCGGATTGTTGGCAGACTTGCTACAAGATGTGATATTTTTGCGTGTGTAGTAATTAATTTGGAGAAATTTCAAAGTAGTCTGTAGACGTCTTGCTCTAGTTTCAAAATACTAAATATTGATTTCTAATTGGTTATGGTTCATGATTTATTAATGCTTTCAGAATTGTGTTTCAAAACCAAATCATCACGGAGATGTAATACCAAATCTTCAAAGTATTAATGTAACCTTTTATCATTCCATCAGAAGTATCAACCATAAAGTCGACTCATCATGGGACACAGGATTTTCCTCCTCAATCGAGACAACTGTCATTAAACGCATCACTGGCGATTGGCAACTCGTCTTATTCTTTGACAGTCCTGTGGAAATAAGTTCTGTTTGGGGAGCCAAGAAAGTATTTCAAAACAAACTAAGTACGTGAATATTATGTAAAATTTGAAAGGAATTAATATACTATTTCCCCACTTTGATAACACTGCCACTTGACAATTAGCATTTGCTTTACGATATGCTCAGAGAACTCCACGATTTTGGGGCATCTCAATGTAGATGGAACATTTGTCGGTGGAATTTTCGAACGAAAAATTTACATACAATTTTAGAGGACTCTGTAGCTCAGTGACAGTGGTCAGGGCGTTTCTTCGGAATCGCAGGCCTCAAGTTCGATTCCTGCCCTATTCTTGCATTTTTCGCAACTGTTCTCGGTCACACACATAAAAACGCACAAGTTGTAGAAAACCAGCAGCAGACCTGTAGCAATGCTGTTCCAACAGCTTCTCAACAGGATATGTTCGCACTGCTTGTTCCCAGCTTGTTGACAAGCTATCAACGGCTTGTTGACAACTTGCTACAAGGGCGTTGAGTTCAATAGATTTGTTACAAATTATTCCAACAACTTGTTATCGTCCTGCAATTCAACAATTTGTCAACAAGTTGTGAGTGACAACCTTGTAGCAACTTGATGAAATTAAATAACAGCATTGTTACAACTTGTTGACAAGCTTGATACAAACCTGTTGCGAACACATCTTGTTGACAAGTTGTGAGATTTTTACATGTCTTGGTTAAAAACTGTATATAAATTTTCGTTCGAAACTTCTATCTAAAAATATGCCATTTTCTGACTTGGAGACCTACTGGCCCTACGGCCGCTCATTTTAACATTTTTTAAATATTTTAGGCACAGTTTTCAAATTCCGAGGTTTGCCCTGGAACAAACATCGTGAAGTCGGAGATAAGATCAACATGGGTTTCAATGCGATGGTGGAGAATCCTGGCACCAAATTACCTCAAGTACTCACTCGGGAACTGGAGTGTATTGGATGTAAATGAGGAGGTCTGCGTATTATGATTTGTTGAAATAAATATCTTTGTGCCACGACATGTTATTTGAATATTAATATTACTATTCTTGTGATAGGCGAATCCCTTGTTGAATTATATTTTTTCAACTAGCCTTTCCACTCTGTTAGCTAATTACAACGCACATACATAACAGAACAGGAAGTTAGGAACTTGTAACAGGAAGTTAAGAACTTCTAATAAGGAACATACTGAAGGAAAATTGAATTGGCTTTTAGCATGGATAATAAAATAAATGGATAGGAAACTAGCTGACGTGACCTAATGTTTTTACTGGGATTGATGGCGTGGTTGGATGCCTCAACCACAGAGTAGATAAGACATACAGAGACGTAACTGACCGTTGTAAACACTGCGGAAGATTACATTATCATGTACCCACTTTTTTTCAGGCGACCGGGCGAAAAATGATCAACTGCGCGTGCTCAGCAAGTTTAAAGTGAGTCGTCATCAGGTCGTCATCCAATCAGATGCATGCATCTAGAGATGCATGCATCTAGTAACTTGCCGAGCATGCGCACAAAAAAAGTGGGTACACTAGTTACGTCTCTGTATGTCTCTACTCTGTGCCTCAACCTAGTTGAAAATCAAATTCTCAAAAACGGCATGTTTAGCAATAATACAGCTAAACAATTTAGTCAAAGAGCAAATAAATGTAACCATGCCATTCTACGATGAAAACTCTAAGTATTCCCAGTCAATTTTAGCAAATATTTCAAGCACTAAACAGTGAAAAATACATCGCAAATTTCGTTAAAATTTGTGACGCCAATTTCGTAGCTACAAATGTAAAAAAATGCAAAACAAAGACGAAAAACATTTACCTTGAATACTTTGTCGTGGCTTAGGTATGTTTTTAAAACAGTTAGACCAGTTTACGCTTCAAGATCACCCTTTTAAAGTGGAAAATATAGCAAAACAACAAATATGCCGAGAACTTTGGTAATATTCGCAATACGCGTGACGTCACGTTTTTCAACAAGGATGCAGTCAATGACGTCAGAAGTTTCCAATCCATTTATTTTATTATCCATGCTTTTAGCAACATTGCAAATTCCTTCAAGGGTTTTGCATGGGTGTTTTTCAAATTTGAAAGGTAACGCTTGGCGTAGTTTACCTAGCTGTAAGCATTTATTTCAGTAATACTAGAATATTTTTTGATATTTTCGGAAGAATCCTGAGGGCTTCATAAAAATACGTCAATCTTTAGGTCCCTAAAATTCTCACACTGCATGTTGAGGGCAAAAAGCAACACGGAATGAATTCAAGTTAAATTCAATCTAAAAGCCACGTTTCCCGCTGCGCCCAACGTAAACATCGCCTATACTCCATATAGGGGAATCTTTGCAAGGGATAGGATCTGCATAATACATTCCACCAAAATTCGTCTTATTATATCTCTTATCCTGATTTCCGCACGGATAGGTTATCCCAGGCACAGGGTACCGTTTCCAAGATGTTAGCAGCATTGCCTGCCAGTATTGTTCAATCTGTAATGGATAGCTACCGTGTAGGGCTAGAAAATCTTCACAGATGTGAAGATGTTGTTCCAAAATGGGTTCATTAGCGGTAACTTCGTAGTGTACCCTTGGGTCCCCAAAGTAAGTTACGTTCTCAATATCGTTTATCCACATCGCCATGGCCTGGTCCCCAAATGCATGACACATCAGGGAGTTGTGTTGCTCCTCGATAAAGTGTTGTATCAGGTCGTTGCTTACTATTACAAAACCTTCGTCGACCCGAATACCACCTGCAAAAGAAGGTGGAAAATATTAAGAGGAGAATCTTTTGTATGTTACGTAACATGCGCTCAAAACTGATGAATATACCTTTATACTTGGTTATTACTGTCTTCAAATTTTTAAATTTTTAATACGTTTCTCAAGCGGCAAACAAACTCCAACTAAATAACTAACCAACTAACTAACTAACTAACTAACTAACTAACTAACTAACTAACTAACTAACTAACTAACTAACTAGCTAACTAACTAACTAACTAACTAACTAACTAACTAACTAGCTAACTAACTAAGTAACTGGCTAACTAACT